CTGGGACTAAAGGCATGCACCACCACTGCCCAGCTATACTCTTTATTTCTCCAGACTTTCTTTCTTTGGTTAGTTGTACTTATTCAGCTTTCCATTTGCCATGCCTCCAAGAAGTCTTTTCTTGGGGCTGGAGAGATGCCTCAGAAGTTAAGAGCTGTTCTTCCAAGAGGTCCTGAGTTCAATTCCCAGCAACCACATAGTGGCTCACAACCACCTTGAATGAGATCTGGTGCCCTCTGTTGGCATGCAGGCAGAAGACATAATAAAATTAAAAAGAAAAGAAAAAAAAAGAAGTCTTTTCTTGGGTTCCAGGCATAAGGTGTCCTTTGGACTTCCAGAGCATGGCTACCTTCCTGTGTCATAATTCACCTGCTCACTTATCAGTAACCTTTGTTAGGTTTTGAGCAGGAACAATGTCCACCTTATTTATCATCAGTATCTAGCACAATGCAGTTTGTAGTAGTAAATAAATGAATGGAATAATCTGTCTTCTGGGATGACGTATGATTGGGTTTTTATTGTTTGCTTGGAAATTTTTGGTTTCTTTTGAGCCAGGGACATTATGTAGCTCAAGCTTGCCTTCCCGCCTCAGCCTCTTGGGTGCTAGGATTATAGGATTTGCCTCCTCTCAAAGTGGCACTTAAAATTTTAAATCACATTTATTTATTTGTGTGGATGTGCTGGTATCTATGGGTACAGAAGAGAAGACAACTTGTGGAAGCTCATTCTTTTCCATCACATGAGTCCCAGGAATTGAACTCGTGTCAATAGCAAGTGCCTTTCTTTACCTGCTGAGCCATCTTGTTGGTCATCAAGTGGCATTTTTTTTTTTGGTCTTTCAAGACAGGGTTTCTCTGTGTAGATTTGGAGCCTATCTTGGCACTCACTCTGGAGACTAGGCTGGCCTCGAACTCAGAGATCCACCTGCCTCTGCCTCCTGAGTGCTGGGATTAAAGGCGTGTGCCACCAACGCCCAGCTCAAAGTAGCATTGTAAATGAAAATTTACATCAAGGGCATGTAAATGAATGATTATGTCTAGCCCTTTGGGAAATTTTTTCAGCATTAGAATTAGACTCAGAAACACATTTAGTCTTTTTAAGTTTTATTTTTAAAAATATTCCAATTCATATGTGTATGACTGTGGGCATGTGTGTATATAAATGCAAGTGTCTGGAAGACTAGACAAATCAGATCTGAGAATGAGATTTAGAGGTAATTTTTTACTCTCTGACATGGATGTTGGGAATATAAGAGTAGCAAGTGATCTTAACTGCTGAGCCATCTCTGCAACATCTACATTTAATTTTTAACACTTATCTTCCCTATCTCCTTTACAGTTTTTAAAAAAGATTTGTGTGTGTGTGTGTGTGTGTGTCTTTCTCTGTGTGCCTCATGTTCATAGGTGTTAATGAAGGCCAGAAGAGGTCTTCATATTCCCTAGAGCTGGGGTTACAGGCAATTGTGAGCTGACTGATGTGGGTGTTGGGAACAGAACTTGGGCTCTCTGGAAGGGCAGCATCATTCTTAACTACTGAGTCATAGCTGCAGCCCTTCATTCTCATTTTTTGTTTTGTTTATTTTTTTAAGACAGTTTTCTGTGTATACCTGGCTGGCCTGGAACTCAAGGAGCTGTCTTTCTCTGCCTCTGAAGTACTGGGATTTAAGGTGTACATCAATGTGCCCTACCAAACTTATACTGTTTTCTGGTATTACCATAGTGGCATTATGTTTTTAATTTCAGAGTCTAACTGTTCATTACTGGAATATAAACAGTTAAATTTATATATTAGGTTTGTATTATGCCTTATATCATACTTTTTTTTAACTTATTATTCAGACCGGTTTGGGCCAGTCTTGTTTTGTTTTGGATTTTGTTGCCCATCCCCCATATAAAATAATGAAAAAGTTTTCTTCGATTCTTTTTATATATATTTTTTATTTCTTTTAAAAAATAGTTTGAAATGACATGTGATATGCAATAGGAATAGTTAAGAGAGTACCCTTCCTGATTCCCTATCTTTGTTCTCAAATGTGTTGGCTGGCCAGTTCTTGTTAAGGCTCTTATCATAGTCCCTCTATCCTTAGTTTGCTGTGAGGTGTTTTGATTTTAATTGGTAATCAACAGTGGATTTAATTTTCTCTTAATCTCCATGTCATCAGTGGTGGTTTCCCTCTTTACCATATAATGTTAGTGATTTTATATGTTCTCTTTCTTCTAGAGATTTATCTATGTATTTAAGTTTAAAGTAGTATAGAAAGAAAAGACTAGTGCCAAGTTCCACAATGACATTATTCACATATTCAAGTTTCAGCTATTCTGTTTTTTTCCATGTACAACTTGAGAAAAATAAATAATAGGGAATTGAATAAATAACTGGTAAGAATATGGTACGGCAATTTATATCTCTTATTCATTATACTTAATCTGGATTACATGTTAAGTCTTGCTGAAATGTAAAGAAATACAACTGTAGAGTCCTTCTATTTGTTTCATTCTTAGTTCACAATATTTGTACTTGAGAAGTGTGACTACATAGAGAAGTAATGATAACATTAACTCATCAAAACTATATACACTATTTTGGGTGAGATTTAGTGGTTAAAGTCCTTCTGCACCAAGTAATTGCTGCATAAGTCTGGTGGTCCAGCTGTATTACTAGTCTCAGAAGGCAGAGATCATCTCCTAGGCATGCTTGCAAGGGAGACTTGCCACATCAGTAGGTTCTGTAGGTTGCTTCCATCAATAATATTGAAGAATCATCAAGGATATTCCTAACACCAGTCTTGTGCCTCCACTTTCATTTGGGACACATGCTATGTCCACATCCCTTACATGTACCCATATACATATAAAACACACATTTTGGAATACCTCCCATGTGAAAAATGGAAAAAGAGCTGGGTGGTGGTGGTGCATGCTTTTATGGATCTCAAGGTCACCACGTTCAAGGGTTCAAGGTCAGTCAGGGCTACCCAGAGAAATCCTGCCTTAAAAAACTGAAAGAAAAAGGAAAACCAAAACATTACTATTTTGATGAATCACTCATACAAGTGGGAAAAATTCCTATTTTTTCCCCAGTACAAAAATTATGAAGGGAAGGGGAGAGATGTACTAGATAGCCCTGTTGTGGGTCTTTTTTTGGCGGGGGGGTGGGGGGTAGGGGAGTGGCTATTGTTTGTACTTGGTGATAAAGCTATATAGTTGGAGCTGCCAAGATAGTTGAACAGGTAAAGGCATTTGCTGCCAAGCTTTATGACCTGAGTTTTGAGTTCTAGGCACTTAATTTGTGCAAGTACAGCGTCAGCTTTCACACATTTTGTCTGTCTTCCACATGCATACTATGGCATACATGCCCCTAATCAATCGACCAGTCGATAAATGTAGTAAAATTGTTACTATTTTGAGGCAGGATCTCACTTTGTTAGCCTTGGCTGGCCCCCAGATTGTGGCTGGTGTCATCCTGGCAGCTGGTCCTGGGAGGTAGTGTAAGAAAGGTAGCTGAACAAGTGTCGGCTGGTAAGTAGTCTGTTGCCCTGCTTGAGTTCCTGCCTTGGTTTCGGAATTTCTAAGACAAATAAACTCTTTCCTCCCTAAAGTGCCATAGTTACAGTTTATTTTTATTTCTACAACAAGCTTGAAGATGCCTGACTAGATTGATAAAAACCTAACAAAGTTAAGTATGACTAAACTGTGTTTTATTGTTGTTTGTTATCCAGGTACCTAGTAGAACTGGGTTGTATCAAGCCACTTTGTGATCTCCTCACTGTCATGGACTCAAAGATTGTACAGGTTGCCCTCAATGGCTTGGAGAACATCCTAAGGCTTGGAGAGCAAGAAGCCAAAAGAAATGGCTCAGGCATTAGCCCTTACTGTGCTTTGATTGAAGAAGCATATGGTGAGATACTTAGACTGGGTCAGCCTATGAAGTTAAGAAATAGACATAGGCATATAAAAACACGAATATAGTAGGTACTGGGTGATACTGGCTGTTACAGAGCTTGTTACTAAGATGTTGGTTTATAATGTTAGCATTCAGATATAGTAGTAATAATCATTTTTATATGAGTATACAAGATACGTAAGTGAGAATGTTTATATCAAAGAAATAGACTTGAAAATGTAGTTAACTAGGATTTTCAAAAAGATTCTTATTCTTCTTTTTAGGTCTGGATAAAATAGAGTTCTTGCAGAGTCATGAAAACCAGGAGATCTATCAAAAGGCTTTTGATCTTATTGAGCATTACTTTGGGACCGAAGATGAGGACAGCAGCATTACACCCCAGGTTGACCTTAGCCAGCAGCAGTACATCTTCCAGCAGTGTGAGGCTCCTATGGAAGGTTTCCAGCTTTGAAGAAATCCTCTGCTTTCTTGTTCCTGTATCAGACCAGGCTACCCAGTCAAGTCCTCTTGTGGAGCCCACGGTCCTCATGGAGCTAATTTCTCAAATGTTTTCCATAATACTGTTTGCGCTCTTTTACACACATCTGGAAAACCTCTGGCTCTCTGTGGTGGAATACCCTTTTATTACAAGGGTAACCAGAATGGCCCACTCTCTTATGGAAAAATCCCTAAGCTTTGGAGATCCGCACTAATATTAGAGTCATGGGGATATACACATATTAATGTGGCTCCCTTTTTTGTGGGGGAAAAGAGGACTCTTCCTCATTCCGTAAAGTGGGGAAAATGACATTAAAGATAAAACTAAAACCTTTATCTTGAATTTTACACAACTACTTGGACAAGGGAGATACTTAGACTTGTGCATACATCAGAGTACTCTTCTCGAGTTCTTCCACAGTGAACCAACCCTTGGAGTACCCGGTGGCTTTTTCTAGCCAAATTTGCATTAATCCTTATTGAGATAGGATGGTTTTCTTTCCTCTAATGGAGTCATTCTTCAGATATTAAAGTTAAACCATCCACTCCCTCACCTTCAGCCTTCAGTGAATGTGCTTCTAGTTGTCAGGAATGCTGAAGAATTAACAATTTGACTTTTAAATGTGATACTGGCTTGGCAGATTCCCTTACAGCAGAAAGAGAGGAGCACAGATTAATGTGTATGGCTTCTGCTTCTCTTTGGTTTTATGTCTCTTGGAAGTAGTTCAGTTTTAACACTGGTATGAAGATAAAAGTCCTTAGTAAAACCATGTTCTAAAATTCAGTTAGAGTCAGAAGAACATAGAACCCATTACTTTCTCTAAACCAGTGTGACTAGAGGCTGTTTTACTGCATTACAAGACTCAGGCTTTGTGGTCCTGATCAATGTCCTGGTAAATTGGAGTTCACGCTAGGTGCTTTTCTTCTTTGTGACTGGCAGATAACACGTGTTTAAATGTTACTTAGGGATTTTTTCCCTTAGTCAAGTGCAGCGCGATTCTAATGTATCATGCTGCATACATGATCCTGCAGTGCAGCATCCTTATCTTTAAAAGCTAACAGTCTCCTCAAAATGACCTCTAAACTAAAAGGGCAGTGATCTTTTTCTAATAACCTCAGTGTTCCCTGGTTTTATTTCATCTCCTACTAGTACCCTACCTCCCCAAGTAAAAACAGTGCCCACCTCCTGCTTATTTAATGGTGACTGTAATGTATCTGCAAATGGCGCTTCCAGTACTGTGTTCACTGATCCACATTTTTGCTTGGACTAGAAGGGGAGAAAAATCAAAGAAAGCTTAATTGCCAAGAGAACTGCAAATGAGTTCAATGCGACTTCTCGGTGCTAGTTGGCCATCTTGGCTCAATGTTGGGACACTATCAGAGAAGAGCTTTTCTTGATGATAATTCTGTTCAAAATGAATTCTGAAGGAAAAGTTGCTCATGTCTGTTGGGAGCATACCCTTTTAAATCTCTTTAGACTACTCTTCTAGAAGTCATTGTAACCCCAAAGTATAAAAACCATCTGGGAGAGGCCCCTGACAAGTTATTGCACATCTCTGGTGAATCCTGCTGAATGTAAGGGATATTCAGAACTTTTCATACCTCATCATGATGTTATTTAAGCAGCCAACTTCCATGACCCGATTTACTTTGAAAAATTTATTTCATGCAAATGAGAAAGTTGCAGAGACAAAGGACATTTATCAGCCAAGAGTGTGATGAATTCTTGCTCTAGGCTTTAAATTGTGTCTGTGCTCTGGGATGGATACCGTCTGATGTTTGTTATTGATGGAGCAGGCACTACAAAACTAGTCAACTCCCATCTGTCCTGTTGTTTTCTAGTGCTGCTTTGTGCTGAGAGAACATGTTAGTTTACTGAACTTGACCTGTACAAGACTGATTCTTTGTAATTTTAGGGATAAATTAGGTGGTTAATTTAAAAATGATCTTTCAATGTTGCCTTTACATCACATTAAAATATCACTTCTTTCAGAAGGGTAATAGAAGCACTGATTCATAGTAAAAATCTTGTTTTTATCTTTGACTTCTTTGTGGCTGTTTTGTTTTTTTAATTGTAAATTACTGGTAATGTATTTCTGTAGAATGTTTTAAATTATGTACCTTCTACTGGATAGTTAAAACCTTTCATCCTACAAACAAGTTTGAATGAAAAGTTCTAAGCACACAGAGTTGTTACCCCACCTAACAAGAGTATACAGCTGGGACTTCTGTAGCAGTTTCAGGGTTACCTAGTGAGGTCAGGTCCATTAACCAATGCAGTCTGTTTTATTGAAAACAGAATAGTTACCTTAAGGTTGACCCTAGAAGTTCATGAACTTTAAATATTCTGAACTTTGTTTTTCTAGTAAAATGATAAATGTAAAGATTGGAGTTGGCTAAAGTAAAACCCCAGCAAATTCAGATGTTCTGGAGCAGACTGTTTTGTTTTTTTTTAATGCAAGTGGAATTTTAAGGGGTACTTGTAAATCCTATTTTTATTCCTTCACTGGCAAAGTCTATTGATTTAGTTTAATCTTTGGAATATTTTTTATTAGAAAGGTGTTACTTATTACAAAAGCATATTAGTATTTATAACACAAGAAAACTCTTACGTTTTTTAGATAGTGATCAGAGCAAAGTGGCTTTGTTTCTTTATCTTTCCCTGTCTTCCTTCATACTTTCCAAGTATGTATTTTATACTGAGAACTTTGGTTTAAAAAAAAAAATTGTATTCAGAGAATTTGAGATGTAAAGGTATTTGGCACCTGAAGGACCAACAGGTAGATATGATTGGGTAGAGAAATAACCCAGAAAGTACAGATAGCGGATATAAAGAAAAGAGTTAGGAGACAGTTCTCCGTAGAACTCTTTGTTCTTGTCAACAAATCAAAGCCATTTTCTATTGCTCTAATCATAGTCCCCTGCTGGAAACCATTGCTCTAGGGTTGTTTCTTCCATGTAGCAGACAAAGCTATTTGACTCTGGGTGTTTTTCAGCCTTACAGTCCCATAAAAAAATCTGAATTATTCCAGTTGCTGCTGATTATGCCTAAGAAAACATATGTAAGTATAATTTGTCAACCAAACTCTGTTGTACATGACTACCTACCGGCAACTTTGATTGATTCTGTAGTGCTAAATAAACATTTCAGCTGTCTTACCCCAGACCTGGGGCTGCATTGTAAAACAGGATTTCCTTGGGTTTCTTTGGGGTTTATTTTATCTCTGATTAATTGTGTGAATATTGTCACACCAATAAGCAAGCCACTTTAGCTGTATTTAGAGGCTTAAGCTTTTTACTTAGGTTGGAAATTCTGTTCAGCAATGCACAATAAGAAAAAAAGAGTTGCTTTTTGAGAGGGGTGTTGTTTCCTTTCAGGATACATACATCATTGTGTGCTACCTCCTGCATCCCAAAATGTGCTCTTTGCAGTTTCATTTTGACATCTCAGATTAGTAGGGCCATTTCCTTATTTTTTGAAGTAAACAGATTAGTATCTATCTTCATAGTTGGGAAATATTTTGGGTTACCTTTTCCCATCGTCCAAAATTAGTTAAAAGTAATTGGAGATCAGATGTGATCCAAGTGTAATATGTTGACTATAATATAAATGGTACTCTAATAGTCTTTACTGTTAGGAAAGGACAGGTTGTTAGAATGAATACTAAGACATTAGGATAATGCTTAATAAAGTAGGCATCAAACTTTATTATTTATTTATTTTGGTTTTTTTAAGACAGGGTTTCTTTGTACAACAATCCTGGCTGTCCTGGAACTCACTCTGTAGAACAGGCTAGACTTGAACTCAGAGATCTACCTGCTTCTGCCTCCCAAATGCTGAAATTAAAGGGATTAAAGGTGTGGGCCACTACTGCCTGACTGATACATAACATTTTAAGAATATCAAATTGCTGGAGCTGGAGAGATTTTTCTTCTGTTAAGGGATCATCTGTTACAAGAGGTACTGCTCTAAGGAGGATGGGAGTTTGGATTTAGCACCCACATCAGGTGGCTCACATTTGCTTGTACCTCCAGCTCCAGGGGATCCAGAGCGCTCCAGGGGATCCAGAGCCCTCCTGGGCCTCCTCGGGTGATAGATGCACATGGGGTGGACATGCCCTGCACACCTGTGAGCAAACACTCAAGACAGAGAAAAACAAATCTCGGCTGGGCAGTGGTGTCGCATGCCTTTAATCCCAGCACTTGAGAGGCAGAGGCGGTCAGATCTCTGAGTTTGAGGCCAGCCTGGTCTCCAGATGGAGTTTCAGGACAACCAAGGCTACACAGAGAAACCTTGTCTTGAAAAAAAAATTTTTTTCCTTAAAGAATCAAATTACTGTTGATAAAGCTTGAGATAAGAATTAAGGCGTATTAATTCTGGTGTAGAAATTCTGTTTTCAGCTAAGAGTAGTCAGAAATGTCTTTTCCTTTAGGTCAAATAAAAGCAAGTCATGCTTATTTGTGTCTGTTGTATGCCAGGTAATTGGCTAAGGGCTTTCCCTTAATCAGTCCTTGATAAGATCAAGACTTAATGTGTTACTCTGCTCCATTTTCACAATTCTTAGATGGTGGTTGTACAAAGGAGAACTTTGCAAATTCTGTTCTTCATGGTCATGCAACATTTCTGTGCCCAGGAAGTCCTGTGCTAGATTGTAATGGTCAGCGGTGGGCAAGCCTTTTGTGTTGGACCATTTTTTCCAGCTGATCCTCATCAGCAATGCTGTCAGTGGCTCCATCTCAAATATCACAACTGCTATTAATTTGCATATTTAGATAGATGAAGTGACGATGGTGGTTGTACAAAGGAGAACTTTGCAAATTCTGTTCTTCATGGTCATGCAACATTTCTGTGCCCAGGAAGTCCTGTGCTAGATTGTAATGGTCAGCGGTGGGCAAGCCTTTTGTGTTGGACCATTTTTTCCAGCTGATCCTCATCAGCAATGCTGTCAGTGGCTCCATCTCAAATATCACAACTGCTATTAATTTGCATATTCAGATAGATGAAGTGATCCCCCCTTGTTCCCAAACATCTTTCACCTTCTGTAGTACTAAAATTATATTTAGCCAGACAAATATAACAAAGAATTAAAAGAAATTCAAATGGTTGGTTGTGAATTTAGTAACATAATGGCTGAACTCAGAAACATCTTTTTGTTTAGATGAGAATATAGAAGGTACTGACAGGGGACAGTTGGGGTATGCAGAATAATCGCTGGTTATACTCAACATCATGGGTGTAAAGTTAGCTCAGCCTACTACTAAAAAGTATATTTTCAGCCAGGCGTTGGTGGCACATGCCTTTAATCCCAGAACTTGGGAGGCAGAGGCAGGGGGATGTGAGTTTGAGACCAGCCTGGTCTACAAGAGCTAGTTCCAGGACAGCGCCTCCAAAGCCACAACCCTGACTCGAAAAACAAAACAAAACAAAACAAAACAAAACAAAAAACTATATTTTCCCATAGACATCTCCCTTTATGTTTACCTGTTGGGTATTTCTTACCTCAAGACATTTTGGCCATCATGTGCCCTTTCTCAAGAGTGTTCCCACACTTGATTTGGAATGGCTATTAATTCTTTGTATTTAAATGCACTCTGCTAGGCCATGGATGAATGCTTTGCACATAGTAAATTTTCAATAAATAATGAATGAGGAATATATGGCTGCTAGGAATGGGTGCTTGATGAAAAAAGAAAATGCAGAGGAATTCTTTCACATGGTTGGCTGATATCAGAACTGGTAACTATTAAAACAATTGTCTCAACATAAATAGTCTCATTTCAAGATACATAAAAGGATCTGAAGTTTACAAAAAGAAACATTGTCAAAGCAGAAGTCTGTGACATCAAAACAAGGGAAAGAAAAGTGTATACAACATTCTGCTTCCATGTGTATCTGCACACCAGAAGAGGGCACCAGATCTCATAATGGATGGTTGTGAGCCACCATGTGGTTGCTAGGAAATGAACTCGAGTCCGGAGATAACATTTTTTAAAGTAATTTCTTTAGTCTGACTGTTTGCACTTTCCCTTTTTCGATTTGCTGACCAGGTATTTTTGTTAAAATTTAATCAAAACATAGCTTCAGTTCATGCAATCTGGTTTCATCTGCAGTACAGAATTGCTGAGTGTGCAGATTTACTGCAGAGCTTTGACTTTTGCTCATACTTCACCTACAGTTTGGGGGCATATGTGGAGCAATACTTTTAGATAGGGTCTCATGAAGCCCAGGCTGTCTTTAAACTGCTTTGTAACTGAGGATAACTTTGAACTTGCCTTCTGCTTCCATTGCCAGAGTGCTGGAATTATGGGCAGGCACCAGCTTTGCACATATTGGAAAAAGTACTAAGTGTGCAGGCTCCTCTGTGATTGCAGTATTTTTGCAGAGGATAAAGTTGTCTTTACTTATTTTTACCCATATGCCCTTAGCCCAAGGAAGCCAGTGGAATTCAGAAGAGTGACTATAAGGGTCACTGCCTTATCAACCATTTGAGCAACAGATAAGGAGTAAACAAAAACCTAGAAGACCAGTGGAGGGAACAAAATAATTCAGGACTTGTGAGTGGCCTGGACAGCCAAGTTGTAAGCATGGAATTTTGCAAGGGTAACATGATTATGATATGTCATGGAAAGAGATCACAACATAAAACAGGATGGAGGAATCTTTCCAAGGCCATTGTTAAGTCTGGCATGTTTTTTAAACCTTAAGTTTCAGCGTTTCTATTTAAAAAGTACTGAGGAGTGGGGACATGAGCCTTTGGGATATAAATGGGAGCCTTAGGGCAGTTTAGAGAAACTGATTTGATTTCTGCAGTGAACAAAACTAAAAATGTAGAGGTCACCTTGTCTTATGAGAAGGGTAGCTAGTTATAAAAGGATAGACATGACACTGCCTAGGAACTCAGGGTCCCACTCTGATTGCTACAACTTTGGGCTTACCCTGTTGGTGAACTTTGTCATCAAAGCCCGCTCCTCCAAAAGAGCTAAGCAAATCCTAGTAATTTGTTGGGACAGCTTGTTAACAATAGAACATGAGTAATGATTAGTAGTCTATTCCTAGCCCTTTCTTTCCATAAGTCCTTGATGCTATTTGTAAACAAGGTATCCTACACATGAGAGTTCTCTTTTCAAAATAAGCTATGTCTTAAAACATACCCACATATGAAATCTGTGCACCTTTTGTCCCTCATGCTTGTGACGGGTGTAGTGGACTAAACATCCAGGACCACCATCCCGTCTTAGTTCTTGGGTTGTGCCCATCTTTCCCTTTTGGCTTCCTAGTTATAAGAAAAATACATAAATACATGAAATAAAGCCTAAAATTTATTATACAATGTCCTTTTAGATGAGTGAATAAAAATGGAAAGTTTTGATAATATGGTTTCTAACCACTACCCCCTATCAGAAATCACAGTAGTTGGGGCTTCGGGTGTGGCTAAGTAGTTCTCTATGGGTCATGACCCCTTGGTGTTCAAATGACCCTTTTACTAGGGTTGCACATTTACACTGCACATGTACATTGATTCATAATGGCAATATTGGCAATGGAATGGTTTTATGGTTGGGGTCACCACAACATGAAGTGTATTAAGGTGTTGCAGCATTAGGAAGGTTGGGAACCACTGCACCGGCTGCTCTTCAGAGGACCTGAATTGGATTTCCAACACCTCCATGCACCTCACAACCATTTGTAACTCCAGTTCCAAGATAATTGGATGCCCTCTTCTGACCTTAAGGGTATTGCATTCACAGTGATACATGCCGACAAAACCTTACACCTAAAAAATGAATCACTGTCATCCATGCTAATGGAAGCAAGGAAGTAATTTTCTTGAGTGGCTCATTGCTGTTCATCCTAGCACTGACAAGACTGGGTTGAAATTAACACCAGTTGAAGGCTAGTCTGGGCCACAGAATGAGAAGCTGTCTCAAAAAAGAAAGCAGATGGTTCAGTGGGTAAAAAGGCCTGCCTTTCACTATGCCTGGCAATGAGGACAACTCACAAGGTGGCCTCTGCATCACCCATAGCCCTGCACAAGACACAATATAGAAGGAGTTCAGCCGGTAAGAAAGCCTTTGTTATTACTGGTGGCGGTGCAAGCCTTTTAATCCCAGCACTCTGGAGGCAGAGACAGGTAGATCCTGAGTTCAAGGTCAGGCTGGTCTACAGAAAGTTCCTGGATAGCTAGGGCTACACAGAAACCCTGTCTTGAATAACCAAAGGGAAGAGGGGAAAGATTCCTAGCACCAATAACGAAAAAAAGACCACACTAAGATAGTTTGGCAGTAAGGAGTGGTAGCAAACCTGTAATCCCAGTATTGCGGAAGCTGAGGCAGAAGGTTGCCTTGAATTCTAGGCCAGTCTGGGATACAGTGAAACTGACTCAACACCTCAGTCTCTGCCCCCTCAAAAATGGAATGATGCTCTACACCTGTAGCCCCAGCACTTGGGAAGTGGAGCAAGGGTTCCTTTCCTGGTTGGACTATGAGACTTAAAAAGCACCATTAAAAACAATTCACTGAAACAATGTTTCCCTAGTGCTTTAGAGGGCGGTGGCAGGCAATTTTCCCTTATTAACAATACAGAGCTCTGAATAACCTTCCCATCAACCTGTCCCTTTCTCATCTCAAGAACCTTATCTATTTTCTACAGAAGCGTAAACTATCCGGGCTAAATACCAAAGGTTTGTTGATTTCTCCCATCATAATCTTGGTTTTGTTTTTTCGAGACAGGGCTTCACTGTGTAGCCTTGGCTGGCTTGGAATTCATTCTGTAGGGTAGGCTGGCTTCGAACTCACAAGAGGACCACTTACCTCTGCCTCCTCCTAGTACTGGAACTAAAGGTATGCACTACCACTGCCAGGAATAACCTAGGCTTTTTGTTTGTTTGTTTGTTTCCCAAGGTTGTGTAGCTTTGGAGGCTGTCTTTGAACTCACTCTGTAGACCAGGCTGGCCTCAAACTCGTAGAGATCCGTCTGCCTCTGCCTTCCCGAGTGTTGGGATTAAAGGTGTGTGCAGCCACAGTCTATAATTTTTTTTTTTTTTTTGAGACAGGGTTTCTCTGTGTAGCTTTGGAGCCTATCCTGGCACTCGCTCTGGAGACCAGGCTGGCCTCGAACTCACAGAGATCCGCCAGCCTCTGCCTCCCAAGTGCTGGCTATAAAATACTTTTAATCCACTAGTTTTACGATCTTGTGCCTTCGCTCTGCTCCAGTACCCTAGTCACAATAAGCAGACCTTGTGGCCTCCACTCTCAGCTTCGGAGGAGGGCGGGGACAGAGGCCAACTATATGCACAGTCTTCCTTAAGTGCTCGCGGGCCGCGCCCCTTCCTGCACCCAAGCCTCGTATCAAAAAGCCGGTTTCAGCGTCAGCAGGCTGGTTCCAGGAGGACCGGAAGCAAACGCTGGCCTCCTTCAGCGCAGGCGCCGCCCGGCCGGTCCCATTGGTGGATGTGAACCTGAGCTGTGGTGCGTCTCCGGCTCTTCTTGAGCCTCTCAGATCCTGTTTAATGTGGCGTCTTCAGTTGCTCACTGTTCCCAGATGTTTTGGAGCTGGGAAGGACGTGGATGAGGACTTTTTGTGCAGCCTCCCAACCCCCGCGGGATGGCCTAGTCCTTTCACAGCACCCGGCAAGAGTACCGATCTCAGAACCACTGTGATCTGGTTCTCGGATGCTACCGAAGAAAGCGAGAGGAGAGCGGTCCAAACCTTGCTGCTGATCCTGTGCCGACCCTGAAGACGAACCCATGTTACAATCAAAACCATTCGCTTTCGAACGGCAAGTTTCACCTTCTGTAATGTTCCGTGCCAGACGCCTGTGCAAACTGTAGAGCCCGAGCTATGGCGACCGAGCATCCCCCGGCAGAGGGAGCCCAGTCGGCCCTCTCCTCTGCCACCCAACGGGAGGAAAAGCCGCAGAAACCCAACTATGCTGTCAAACTTACTCTTACGGGGCACTCGGCGGCCATATCATCAGTTAAATTTAGTCCTAACGGAGAATGGCTAGCAAGTTCTGCTGCTGATACACTAATTATAATTTGGGGGGCATATGATGGGAAATGTAAGAAAACACTCTATGGTCATAATCTGGAAATATCAGATGTTGCCTGGTCTTCAGATTCTAGTCGTCTCGTTTCAGCCTCAGACGATAAGACTCTAAAGTTATGGGATGTGAGATCTGGAAAGTGTTTGAAAACACTGAAGGGACACAGGGATTTCGTCTTTTGCTGTAATTTTAACCCACCATCCAACCTCATTGTTTCAGGATCTTTTGATGAGAGTGTGAAAATATGGGAGGTGAAAACAGGAAAGTGCCTCAAGACATTGTCTGCCCATTCAGACCCCATTTCTGCTGTACATTTTAATTGTAATGGGTCCTTGATAGTGTCAGGGAGCTATGATGGTCTTTGTAGAATCTGGGATGCTGCATCAGGCCAGTGTTTAAAAACACTTGCTGATGATGGTAACCCTCCCGTGTCTTTTGTAAAATTTTCTCCAAATGGTAAATATATTCTCACTGCAACTTTGGACAGTACTCTTAAACTGTGGGATTACAGCAGAGGCAGATGCCTGAAGACGTACACTGGCCATAAGAATGAGAAATACTGCATATTTGCCAGTTTCTCTGTTACTGGTGGAAAGTGGGTTGTGTCTGGCTCAGAGGACAACATGGTTTACATCTGGAACCTTCAGACTAAAGAGATTGTACAGAAGTTACAAGGTCACACAGATGTTGTGATCTCAGCAACTTGTCACCCTACAGAAAACATGATTGCATCAGCAGCATTAGAAAATGACAAAACAATTAAACTATGGACGAGTGACTGCTAAAGTCTCTGGCAATCACTGGCTAGAGCTAAGTTAGAAGCAAAATAGGATGATTTTTCTGCAGTTTGGCATGGTTTTGTAGTTCATTTCAAATTGTCTTTGTTTGTGTGTTTGAGACATTTTAATTTTCAAAATGAGACCACTGTAAAAGCAAGTCTAGGTTCTGCCTGTTGACAATCTCTTATGTTTGTTCCCAGACAGCATCTCATTCTTTTTCTTTCAACAGCTCTCCCATAGGGGAGGGTATTTGGAATATTTAGGAGGTTGACAGAAGAGGGTGACTGTGGGAATGGAGGACTTGGAGTTTCTGGTTTGAGAAGTCATTAAGGACAGTGGCATGAGTTTGGAGGGGGTGGTTATGAGAGGATTGGAGATGTTTTACCTGTCACCTGCCTACTTTTGGAGATGGGGCACCATCTATTCACATGATGGGACATCAGATTGCCAAATTAATCTGTCAAGTTGGGGATAAGTGACGGTCAGTCATTCTACAAACTGTACCACTTCTGCATGTGTTGTGGAGGTCAGAGGACAACTCCCAGGAGCTGGGTCTCTCCCACTGTGGGCTTCAGGTAGTGAACTTAGGCCAGGCTTTCTCAACAGGACCTTTTATTCATTGAGCCAACTTGCAGAGCCAGAATCTTAAGTGTTTTTGAGAAAGGGTCTTGCTATGTAGCCCCATAGGCTTGTAAACCAGGCTGGACTCAAACTCACAGAGATTCACCTGTCTCTGCTTCCTCAGAATCTTAAACTTTTAGCTGAAAAATCTCCTAAGTACTTTGTAAGATTATGCCATTTTGTCACGTTCCAGGAAAATTCCATGTCAGATTGTGACCGCTCTCCACTATTGGACCTCCTAACTCCTGCCCAACATCATTCATTCAGCAATCACCTTATGAAAACTATGGTTGCCTGCCTGACCCCTCAGAGGGCAGCTGATGTAGGTTCTCAAACTTTACAGTTACCAACTTGCAGTTGTGATGGCTTCAGGGGCTATGTTTTCAGTAGACAATGAACACTAAGACCCGGGTTGTCTTGGCTTTAATCTAGAGGACCTGATATTTACCGGACAATGAATGATGCCATAATTTCATTCCTTCCTTGAGGTCAATACATTTTAGTAATAAATTTTCCAAACTATAATATCGATTAAGAAATATTTTTGCAGTAGCCCCACATACTAACTGAAAGGCAGCTATGCTAATCCCTATACCACCAACTCCTCAGACGTATCCACCCACTGTATCCACATGGGACTTATATAAAAGATATAGAAAAACATGCAGATGAAAACCCCTCATGAGATTAAGAACTTTAACTGAAAGCAACATGGGCAGGATTTTATCTTCCTGACAAGTTCTGAAAAATGTATTAGAATTACTTGTAGGGCATGACTGCCAAGATGCTAGTGTGTTTGATTACACTGGAAGATGCAAGATCAGTTAGAGGCATAGGTGAAATTCCGACCGAGAAATTTAAATTTGGGTGGGTGTGATGGCTCAGTGGGTGAAGGTGCTTGCTGCTAAGCCTGATGATCCAGCATCCATCCCTGGGACCTGCATAGGAGAAAACACATTCCTACAGTTGTTCTTGGACTTCAAAATTCATTCTATGGCAGAGCTATCCCCACCCCCCAAGACAAGATAAAAATAATGTGAAAACATTAAAGAGCTTAAATTAAACCCATAAAGAAATAGTCATGGTATTTTACTGAACAGAGAATGACACACAATAAAAAAATGATTGTACAAACTGGTGGTATATCTTTATCATAGGCTTTAAAGACAGACTTCTCACTGCTTTTCAATGAAAATGACATTGCTATATGAAGGAAGGCTCCTTAAGGAAGTTCT